TTGAACACAAGATATTACAATGTTTTCTGCTTTAACAATTAGATTAGAATCAATTGTTTGGGTTTATGTGTTTAAAAATAGAAGAAAAAGTATACAAAATATATATAAATATATATAAACTACATATTTATTAAAAGAAGACATCACAAGCAATGTAAAATTGTGAGTTTTTTTCAAAATAGTTTTCTGAAATTATATTCATGTTGCAATATATATCACAGAAAAACTAAATATTGCAATCTCAGTTTTTTCCCAATATCGTGCAGCCCTAGTTCCAGGTGAAAAATGTGTTGGATGAGTTTATCAATGTGTGTGTTTTATTAGCCTGACTAAGCTGAAATCTTAAAATCTTTTTAGTTTTAAACATTATGATGTTGTTTTTGGTGGTGATCTAATTCCCTAAGGAATGTATTTTGTCTTGTGGTGAATCCATATGAAATGAGAAAATGAGGTTGATCAATATACTGCAAACAGCTCATCCATTACTGAGGGAATGTGTGTGTGTGTGTGTGTGTGTGTGTGTGTGTGTGTGAGTGTCATTATCAGCAGGTAATGGGTTGTTCATGGCTCTTTTAACTCAAAGCTGATAAAATCTATAAAGGAGAAAGATGTTACATGACTAAAATGCCTCCACATTCAAGAAGTCAAGAGGAAATTGTTGTCGCTTTGTGTTTACAAACTTTAGGACACTCAGGAGCACCATGAGTGTATAAGCGCGCATTAATCGCACACAACTACACACACTGACGAGTTAAAAACAAATCAGTCATCATTATTATCACCGTCAGAAGCATTACCATCACGATCCTCACACACATTCACAATGGTGTTTCACACGACTCCCAGGACATCATTACAGTTGTGTGGGAGGAGAACGGGCTTAACTTTTTGTATGCATATTAAAATAATTTGCATATGTAAATTTTATAATTAGGCCTTTGTTTGGCATTGTTAATTTGACAGAGGCAAAGTGTGCCTGCAATAAAGAAAAACTCTGGGGCAGATACTGACCTCTAGTGACTGCTTATAGAAATAACACACAAATCTCGCGCACATATCAGGCCTTAGGATAAAAATGTGGGCTCTTTTCCAAACAGCAGTCACTAGCCGCGTTTCCACTATCGCGCCTAAAGCGAGCGAGCCAGGGCGAGCCAAGGCCAGTGGGGTTTCCACTGTCACTTCCGGGGCCTAATCGGGCCAAAGCGGGGCTTTCTTGGGGCCAGCGGCCGGCCTTTTTCGGCCCGCCGAATACCTTGGGCCAAGGAGGGCCAGCTGGGGCTTCGGGGCGGAGTGAAAGAAGAGGCGGGCAGTTTTCTGATCGCACATGAGTACATGCGCCAAACAAATAAAGAAATAAGGGAAAGAAAACATCTAGCCTTATAGTCTGGGGTCTTTTTGCGTATGATCACCCTTATGTTTCCCTTTTAAATGTAAGGCTGCTGCATAAAATGATAAAGTAGTTTTAATTTATAGTGACGTTTTTTGCTGCGTCCTGCTTTGTTTCAATAACGCATATAATAATCATTACACCATATTAAAGACACAGCAGACAGTAAAGGTTTTCGAGAGTTTTTGTCAAGTTTAAAATGTTTGTGCGCGTTTAATGCCTGTATGTGTGTGTGAGACCAGGCAAGAGCGCTCCTTCACAGCTCTGTTATGCCGCGAGCGGCTTTTTTCTTTCTTTATTTTGGAGATAATACACAATATAATTACAACAGAAGGACATAAAACTTAACAAACTACGTGCCCACTTTCGTAGACTTTAAACAATATAGTGTCATATCTTGATAAAATAGCCTAAGCTATAATGAAATATAATTTAAAGAATTACAAATATCGGATAAATATAAAATCACATTAAATAAATAAACCAATATAAAATAAACAAAAGCTAGCTATATGTAGGTAGCCTATATACAATACATAAATCGAGCCGTTTTAAAGCATATATAGCCTATAACTTTCATTTTACAAAGACCTGTCTGAAAAAAAAAAGATTTTCGATATTTTATAAAAACAATTAACACCGGAGAAGGTTTGAAATATTATTTATAAAGTATTTGGATACGATGATATAAATCAAATCGCGCAAACGGAGCATTATTTGGGTGAGTGAAAGCAGAATCTCCTATACCTTTTTTTCTGTCACCCAGTCATGCGCAGCGCTCGCTGCTTTAAACGCATATGGGGGAAAGCCCAAACACAAAATGTGTTCTATATACTCAAACAACTGTTTATGTTTTTATATGACGTGGTTAAATTTATAAATGAAACTTTAAATAAAGAGCTTTAGTGAATAGCTGCCGAGCGCAACAAATATGGCTATATTATATAAGGCTACTCGCTCTTATGCTGAAACACTTAACACGACTTCTATCAAAACAAGGATGTTATAAAATACATGCCATATCGAGTTATAAAGGAGAATTTCTGTGGCTTTATATTATGGATGTGTGCGCTCTCTGTGATGGGTCCCTGCGTTCGGCGAGAGCAGTCGAAGCACAATGCCAGTTGGTCGGCGAGTAAACAAATGTAATGAATGGAAATACACAGGTCTGTGCGTATAGACATTTCATGTACTGCTGAACAGTAACGTGTCATTTGTTTGTTTCGGATGTCTTCATTTTAATGGTTTCGTTTCGTGATGATTCTATGGTGTGCTTTATCTGCCTCATTCCCGCTGGAGTGGGCGGGTTGTGTGACGTTTGATTCGGGGACGTTCTGGGGGCGGTGTTTGCGTGACGCGCTGTGAGCTATTAGCCCGTCAGTGGACACGCGACATGATTTCGGCCTCATTTCTCAACCTCCCGGGCTATTGGCCCGGCCCGGCCCGATTAAAGCCCTGGCTCGCACTGGCCCGATAGTGGAAATGCGGCTACTGATTAATTGAGTCTTATATATGTGTATATATGGGTCAAAGACAAGATGTCCCATTTTGGTGTTCCCCCATTTAATTTAACTAAGTTCATAAAGATGATTTATTGACAAAAAGTATATTTCATGCAATTAATTATTTCCTTAATTATTTGTGTAAATAAGATTTAAACTACGTTAAAAAGTCCAGTCATCAATTATGTTTGTTCTTATAACATAATATATAATAATAATAATATGATATAATATAATATAGTATAACATAGTATAATATAATTTAATATAATGCAGTTGCGCAATGGGTAGTGCTGTCATCTCACAGCAAGAAGGTCGCTGGTTCGAGCCTCCGCTGGGTCAGTTGGTATTTCTGTGTGGAGTTTGCATGTTCTTTCCAGCTCCGGTTTCCACCACAAGTCCAAAGACATGTGGTACAGGTTACTGGGTAAGCTAAATTGTCCGTAGTATATGTGTGTGAATGCAAGAATGTATGGTTGTGTTCCTATGACGGGTTGCAACTGGAAGGGCATCCGCTGCGTAAAACATATGCTGAATAAGTTGGTGGTTCATTCCGCTGTGGCGACCCTAGATTAAAAAGGGACTAAGCCAAAAAGAAAATGAATGAATGAATAATAGAATAGAATAGAATAGAATAGAATCTTGGATTCATTATTTGCATTCAGGTTTATCATTTAACTAAAACCCCAAAAGTTAATCATATAAATCTTGTTACTTTTATTAAAATAAATGCTAACTCAAGAATAAATTTGTATGTATATAAAATTACAGAAAATATATTTCATCATCTGTGCTAAATTACATTGTTATTATATATTGTGTGTGTGTGTGTGTGTGTGCGTGTGTGACTCATTCTAGAATTGCAGGCCAATTTCGAGCATGTTTTCTTGAACTGGAAGGACATACAACAAAAAAATAATTTATAGCAATCTGAATCCATTGTTAATGTTAAATAATGCAAAATAATTTTTAACAAAGAGTTTCAATTCACAAAAATCTAACCTCTTATTGAGGAAAAAAAACTAATTGGAAAGAAGTGAAGTCTCATTTTAAAATGAATGTTTTTCTTTAATATTAGTCTGTTTCACAGGAGTGTATAAGAGAAAACATAAAAAGCATGGACTTAAAGCTTTTGTGATGGCATCATTGTGAGGTTTTATGTAAACATAACCTTTTAATTTTGGTAGTTTTATTAAATTTAATCATCTTAAATTGTTTTTTAAATGTTTAAATAATCTTGTACACTTTCAGAAATAAAGGTCCACAATCTGTCACTTTTCAAAAGGTACATATTGGTACTTTAAAAGAATATATATTGGTGCCTAAAAAAATTTAAAGTAAATAAATAAATAATTAAATGCAAATAAATAAATAAATGCATCACAATGAGTGAATCTTAATAGTATATGTACAGTTTGAAGTCAGAATTATTAGCCCCCTGTTTATTCCCCCCCCAATTTCTTTTTAACGAAGAGAAGATTTTTTCAACACATTTCTAAACATAATAGTTGTAATAACTCAATTCTAATAACTTATATATGTAATATAATGTGTATTTATGTTATGTAGTGCATTTATCGTGTATGTGGCCATACACCCAAAGCACTTCAGAATTATGAGGGGGGGGGGGGGGGGGGGGTCTCTTCACACCACAGGTCAACGGCGCCAGTGCATTTAAAGGCTTAACTAGGTTAATTAGGTTAACTAGGCAGGATAGCGTAATTAGGCAAATTATTGTATAATCATGGTTTGTTCTGTAGACAATCGAAAAAAATATATTGCTTAAAGGGGCTAATAATATTGTCCTTAAAATGGCTTTTAAATAACTAAAAACTGCTTTTATTCTAGCCAAAATAAAACAAATAAGACTTTCTCCAGAAGAAAAAACATTATCAGACATACTGTTTTTCCTTGCTCTGTCAAACATCATTTAGGAAATATTTAAAAAAGAAATAAAAAATCAAAAGGGGGCTAATAATTTTGACTTTAAATGTAAATGTGTCTAAATAGTTAAAAACAATTCAATTAATAAACAGCAGATTTCTTTCATAATAAGTGAGTTTATGTGGCCTCACTTTTTCTTTCTCTTTGTCTTATGTTTTTTTTCTCAGAGAATAACCAGCCGAGTTCTTTGGCAGCTGATCTTATAGACTACAACATGCCTCTTACCACAACATACCTGAAGCAGAAGAAACTGCAGTGCATGAACAACAACGAGCAGGTAAAAACACACTTCTCTAACCTGTGGGTGCACTGGCTGACATATACAAGTCAGTGTGCTGGCATGAGCGTCCTTTTCAGTCCATCCAGATGGTGCAGAAATCACTGTGGGCGTTGTGCTTTACTGACAGCAGGCCTTTTTTTTGCTTGAGTTTGTGTTTATTTATTTTTATTGGACAGCACTGTGTAGTCACCATTTTGTTCTTGTTGCCCTGTGCATTTCAGGGACTGCCTCCAATGTGCTGAAATTCACAGTTTATATACTTTCGACATTTTTTTAGTTGGACATTTTTATTACTTGCATTATTAAAGAACATTATACATTATTGTTCCCAGTGATGGGAAAGGCTGAAAGGGCATCCGCTGCATAAAACATATCCTGGATAAGTTGGCGGTTCATTCCGCTGTGGCGACCCCAGTTTAAAAAAGAGACTAAGCCGAAAAGAATTATTTCTTCATTTGAATAATTGCTGCTAAAATCATTGCATTTAATTTTTTATTGATTTTTAAATTATGCTTTTATAACTAAAAATAAACATTTTGCTTCATTGTGCATGTTAAATAAAATATTTAATATATTTAATAAAATAATTTATTATTTTAATGTTTTAATTTCAGATTTTATTTTAAATTTATAAATGTATTATTTTAATATTTTAATATATATTTTATTTTAAATTATTACATTAATTATTTTAATATTTTAATTTAGAATTTAATTAAAATTTATACATTCATTATTTTAATATTTTAATTTAGTTTTTATTTTCAATTTATTCATTCATTATTTTAATATTTAATTTTTTTTATATGTATACATTTATTATTTTAAATTTGATTTTATTTTTAATTTATACATTATTTTAATATTTAAATTTAGATTTTATTTTAAATGTATACATTTATTATTTTAATATTTTAATTTTAGATTTTATTTTTACATTTATAAATTTATTATTTTGATTTTATTTTAAATATTGACAGCAGGCATTTTACTTAGGTTGAGGTTTTTATTTTTTTTTATTTTTATTTTTATTTATTTTTATTTCAGCAGTGTCTGTAATGTGCAGGATGATGAACTGTGGTCAGCTGTGGGTGGATGTGAGTTTGTGTGCTGTTTTGAAGGAATGGCAGTCGGTTAGTTCCCGTCTAATTAACAAGTGTGTCTTGAGCAGCTGGCTAATTAGCTCAGGTGTGAGAGAACCGGTAGAGTGCCAATCTTAACGGAGAAAGGCAAACTCCATTAAGCCAGTTTGCACACACACACACACAGACAAATATCTTCAGCTCTTACTTCATTTGAAAGTTTGTTTTCAAAAAATGCTGCAAGTTTTCCTCAGAATTGGATGTATTCAGTGACTCTGCCAGTTTCTTTGCTTGATTTTATTAATTTATTATTTCTAAAAACAACATGTGCATCATTTATATAATGTATACATATTATTTTTTGGCTAAATGTACTATTTATTCAATTTTATATTTTAATTTAGTATATCATTTTATTTAATATATAATTTTATTCCATTTTTATTTAAGATTAATTTATATGAAAAATAATAGAAAAACAACATAATAAAAAAGCTACACTAAGAGTATTTATTTAAACTAAATGTATTTAGTTTGATTCATTTAAAACTCATCTTTGTGTTTTAAAGGGGATCAATTATGCAAAAATTACTTTTATAAGGGGTTAAAAAAAACTTGTGCGACAACAGTGTGTGAAAATAGCCAGTCTCTAATGGTAAAACTGTATTAATTCTATCTTTAAAAATCACACTTTATTAAAACTGCGGACACAATTTGATTAACATCTTTTCTTTGTACAAGTCATCAGAGGGGGAAAGTCAATCTCTCTTTCAAACATTCCTAAGTGAGAAGCAGTTGTCCGCCATTTGAGTTTTAGCACCATACCTGCTGAAGATAGTGTCAGTGACTAAGAGGCATTATAAATGTTGAGTTTTAGGATGCACAAATGAACACCATAGTCACCACAGACCTTCTTCTGAGACACTTTTTTGACATTGTCAGTTTTTTACACAGATATCATTAGTCCTGTTTTTAAATCTGCCTCTATGCTGGGGCTTAGGCATTTGAAAAAAGGGGTGGGTGGACAATCTCATTTTAATTTAAAGGAACAGTCATCAAAATTACAATTTGGATCAAAGCCTAAAAGGGGCAGTTTCAAAGAGTTATAAAAAAATCTTCGGTGCTGTATTTTGTTCTAAAACGTTACTTACACACTCTAGGGACCTCAGAGACTTGTCTTCTATATTTTAAAAAGAGAATTAATAGGTACCCTTTAAGATGACAAAACATACAAAGCATAGTTTTAAACAACATTAAGATATTGTTATGACCATCTATCTAGAGGCGATCACATACAAAAACATAAAAAAATATTTTATTATTTTTTACATTTTCAAGCAATATTTTAGAAAAGAAATATATAAATTTATTTACAAACAATAAGATTAATGAAGTATTAACAATAACAGGGATTTATTAAAAGCCAAAATAACAAACAAAATAATCTATTTATTACCTGATAAAAATGTAAATAACAAGAAGAAAAATATATTCACATCCTAATCCAAAAACAAATATCCGAACTACAGAATGAGTAAAACATCTCACTCCCTGCTTCTCATAACATGCATACAATAAATCAGCCTCGGTGGGTATAGTTTGCATGACTAGGAACAGATTCAAAGCAAACAGAGTCAAAAACAAAACATCAAAACAGAACGCCATGCAATCGGCTACTTCTAGAGTTGGGGAGGGCTTTTTCACATAAACCAGAAACCAATCTATTTGCGGATGAGCAATAGGATTCTCACTAGCTGGATGCAGATCATGTCTTTTCATCCATAGAGATACTCCAAAAATACAAACACATTTCCATACAAAAATACTCGATGTAACATTATTACTAGACCAACTATTAATAACAGGGTTCTAAAATACCTTTTCACTGCTGTAAAAACCTGTCTGAATCAGCATTGACCCTGGTCTACTGGTCTTTTCCACCTCGGTGCATATAAAATCGTTTTATACTCCGTATTTTGCTTCCATTTTCCTGTTATTGTGTGCTGGATGCGGGACAAGACATGCTGAAGTTTGATTTCCTCTCATTACAGAGTCTACCTGCGCACTGCAGTCATTTGCTTCCAATTTGCTGAGAAAATTCTTCCAAGATTCTTTTGTATCAAGCGTCCTAATATAAAAGCCCACAATACTTAGAAATCTATGTTTGGAAACGCATACCTTGTTTTTATGTAAGAAGGTTTCGCTTAGAGAAAATTGTGAGGAGCAGACCGGAAGTGCGTGTTTGTGCGTGTGTTGAGGAAACTCATTCCAGAATTCCATTCAAATTGATTAGACCGGAATGACATACAAAAATGTGTCGTTTAAAGTAAACTGAATCTTTTTTTATTGTAAAATAATAATGCAAACTGCTTAAATGTGATGACTAATGGGTTGACGTTTTCCTATATTTTGTGCTTAGCTAAAGATTCTAACTCCAAAGCCACATGTCAATGTATTTTAATCATATTATTTTTACTAGTAAATGAAATATTCACTGAAATAGCACAATAACTGAGTTGACATATGATTATTCTAATACTGATATATCCTAAACATTTTGCACAAATTAACAAGAGAAGAATAAAAATGACATGGCTCAATGCCTTCCAGAGTTTCCCACCAGATGAAGTGACATCCTATGAAGTTACGTTTTTTTTTTTTTGGTTGTTTTTTTATTGTTTTTTTTTTTCTATCAGTGCTTAACAGATTGTTATGCTGTTTTATAATCAGTGTAACAAAGTTGACCAGAATATATATGGACAAAATTACTGGTATTGAAAATATTACTGAGCTTCATATATATACAGTATATATATATATATATATATATATATATATATATATATGATGTTTTAAAACTATTAATGTAGAAATATTATTTAGATTATTAGGTAACATTATCAATAAAAATGTATTCAATACATGACAAAGACATGCACCTTTGGCATACTCAGGATTTTGGCCTGCTTTACCTCAAGAGTTACCTCATAATTTTGATATGAGCTGATCATTTGATTTGATAATTATTTAATATTAAGATATTAATTAATATTCATGCTTATCTACAATACAACATTTTGTTCTAATCTAACTAGCCTCTACTATAAATACTACTATATATTACTGTTATTATAGATACATTAGGGGAAATACGTATCGAACATGGGACAAATTCTTTCAGAATTTGCTGTTAACTTTAAATTTTCCCCGGATAATGGTAACTACCATAGGAATTCATATAGGCAAAGAAACCAAATTTAATTTGTTTACAAATTAAGTTCTGCATAATAAAATGAAATGACACACGGATGAACACGTGAAGAAAGAGAGGTGTAGAAAGGCAGTGGAGGCCCAGACAGCAGCTGATATCTCTCGGCAGTTCTTCAGCAACAATCTGCCCTTCATCATTGTAAATTAATATCAGCTGCTTCAGTCTAACATCCAGGGTGACATTTCAGCAGGACAATGATCTAAAACACAGCCAAGTAAACTCTCTAATGCTTTCAGATATAGAAAATCAAGCTGTAGAATGGCCCAGTCAATCACATGACTTGAATTCAATAGAAAACACAAATTAAATATTTCAGATGACCCACAGAAACATCAAGATTTTTACACTGAGTTGAAGTCTGTGAAAAAACTCACACCTGAGCAATGCATGACTTCATTCTCCATGTGAGAGGCGTATTTATGCTGCCAGCCCCCCCCCCCAAAAGCCTTTTATATTAAGTATTAAATACATTTCAGTAGTTCAGTACTTTTTCCTTGTGTCATCTCATTGTTATTACACACAACTCATTTTTCAGATTTTTGTTTTGTTTTAATTTGATGCTTTTTATTAATTTGAGCTAAATCTGATTTGATTCAATATCAACAGTTCTTTTAGAAATGTTATTATTTCCAAGATAAAAAACG